TTCATCTCCTGGATTGTCTTCCTCTGCTTTACCAAGGAAGATGTCCTTTTCCATGGATTGATCTCTCCTGATACGTCCAAAGTAGCCACTCAGTATTTGGAGGGATGGGAAATATCACACCCAATGTGCACAACCTGATCGTGGTACATGATGCCTCTAAGAATGCAGGACAGAAGGATGTTTTGGGCAAATGCTAGGACATCTACAACTGTGCAACAACAACCTAATAGGATTGTGGACACGTGTATGCGTGCAGAGAAGTATATAGGTATGTGTATATGGCATGTCAGTGTATAGGTATGTAGAGATGGATGGCATATATAAATACATATGTAAGTATATGCATCCATGTGTATTTGTATATGCAATTAAACACATGGGAGCACAAACAAGGATATTTGCTAAACCCTTTGCAGGATTGGTTTTGGGGTCTGAAGGTTTAGGGCCATCATCTTGTAGGACAACTTAGTCCATTGGCATTAGATGCCCAGTCCACACAAACCACAGGCTCATCTTCCCTGAAACCAGAAGACCTGGATGGTGCCCGCTACCACTACCCAGCATTCCGATCAGCACCCTAGTGGAAGGACTGTAATTGAATGGGAGCAAGATGCGGACCAGATCTCAAAACTAAGATGCTTTGAACGTCCCAAATAACTGGACTAGTTGGGACTGGAGGACTCTGTGAGCCTATCACACTGTGATGCACCTCAAATCTTAAAACAGCAGTTCTCAACCTGTGCTTTGTGACCTTTTGGGGGGTCTAACGACCCTTTCACAGGGGTCACCTAATTCATAACAGTAGCAAAATTATTGTTACAAAGTAACAACAAAAATAATTTTACGGTTGGGGGGTCACCATAACATGAGGAACTGTATTCAAGGGTTGCAGCATTCGGAAGGTTGAGAACCACTGCCTTAAAGCAAAACTATTCCACATAAGATCATCTTTTAGTTAATTAATATAACATCAGCAATATCATTCATGAGGATTGTGCTCCTTTGAAAATCATCTGTCTGAGACCGAGCTAGCTACTGGTCCACACTTGCTCTTAAGCCAAGATGACAGGAGCAGGGGCAAGGAAACTGACCGACTGGAACTGAAAGAAGAATGAGAATCATGAGAAAATAGACACAACGCAAAATAGAACGGTTTCCATGAACAAAGTGTGCAGAGATAGTTAAATAGGACACTACTTTGCTGTGTAAACTTTCACTGAAAACACAATAAAATATGATATCTATATAAAAAGCAGAGTGGGGACCCAGGGCCCATCGGGGGGAATTGGACATCCCCTTGCAGAAGGGCTGTGGGGAGGTGAGGAGCAAATCAGAGTGCAGTGTAGTAATGATGAAATATGCAATTTTCTTCTAGTTCTTAAATGCTTCCTCCCCCCCACTACCCTGATCCCAATTCTACCTTACATATCCGGCTGGACTGGAGGAGGTGCACTGGCACAGATAGGAACTGGAAGTACAGTGAACTCAGGACAGATGAACACCCCAGGACCAGTGGAGAGAGTGGCGATGGTGGGAGGATGGAGGGAAGGAGAGGGAGAAAGGGGGAACAGATGACAAGGTCTACATGTGGCCTCCTCCCTGGGGGACGGACAGCGGAGAAGTGAGTGAGGGAGACGTGGGATGGGGTAAGATATGATAAAATAATAATAGATTATAAATTATCAGGGGTTCAGGGTTTGGGGGGAAGGGGGAGGGAGGGGGAAAAATGAGCTGACACCAGGGGCTCAAGTGGAAAACGGGTGTTGTAAGAATGATGAAGTCAACATATGTACTAAAGTGCTGGACACAGATGACGTGTGTACAGATTGTGATGAGTTGTATGAGCCCCTAATAAAATGATTATTTTAAAAAAAAAAGATACAATGGAAGACCTCATTTTCCGATTCCCCTATTTATAATCCCAAGAGCTAATCACTGATTAAAGTGTATTGTGCAAAATTATTAACATGGGTGGTCAAGTGGAGAGGCAGGGCCAAGAGGAAGACTTCCGATGAGCTGGGCAGGGGCTGCCACAACGGGCTCCTGCACAAGAGCACTTGTGAGGGCGGTGCAGGCCAGGCCGTGGCTTGTTCTGTTGTGCACAGGGTGGGTGGCTGCCTATGACTTGATGGCACCTAACAACAACCACATGTGGTCTTTCAGAGTTTTGAGCGATGCATTCAAAATGTATAAACTTAAAAAATTGGGATTGCATTACAATAGTGCCCCCAATTCAACAACTGCCATCAAAAGAATTCTACCATAACACATATTGTAGATCTTCTCATTCTTTTTATATCAGCTTCATTCATCGTATTTTATTGTATAGGCAGACCATAGCTCCTTTTGCTGCACTCCTACTGATAGCCATTTGTGTTCTGTTCAGCGTCTCTCTGTTGTTGACAGTGGCTCCTTTGCCACTAGTTGCCAATAAAGCTGAGTCTCACAGGAGAACGTGGAAGACCTGCTCTGTGGCCAGTGTTCCTCGTCGGATACCGGAGATGCAGGAATGGTGCTGAGGCACAGACCCCTGTCCACCTTTTCCCCAAACAACTTCTCTTCATGCCAGCATGTCTTCTACGCACTGCCGACAGCCAGGGACCATCTGTAGCTTGGCATACAGCGTGGTCACGTCAGGCACCACCACTCTGCTCTCTCACAACACTTGCGACGTTTGTTCCTGTCTTTGACTCAGCCCTCGCCTCATCCCCGTGTTCAGCAAGAGTTCAGCATCGCCAAGTCCTAGGCTCAGCCTTTGATCCCGGGCCCAGTCATTCACATCACTTTGAAAATGAACTAAAACTGAAAGCGGGAGCCCTGAGGAAATGGTGGTGGTGGGTAGGGTGCTGAGTAGTATGATTTTCACTAGGAAAAGGAACATGAATGGATCAGAACTCAGAGTACTTTGGGGAAGAGCTAACTGTAATGGGAACCCTGGTGGTAGAGGGCTTACTACAAGGTCAGCAGTTCAAAACCACCAGCCACTCTGAGGGAGAATGATGAGGCTTCTCTTCATTCTACTAGGAAACCCAGGGGGCAGCACTATCCAGCCCTATAAGGTCGCTATGAGTCGGCATCAGCTCGATGGCAGTGAGTTTGGTTTGGAGAACTGTAATGGTAAATGTAGTATTTACAAGTTGAGTGGCTAAATGCAAGGTCAGTAGTTTGAAACCAGCAACCGCTCCATGGGAGAAAGGGCTTTCTACTCCTATAAACAGTTACAGTCTCAGAAAGTCAGGGTTCTACCCTGTCCTGTCCCTGCCTCCATGAGTCAGCATGGACTTGATGGCCATAGTTTAGGGTTTTCTTGAATGGTAAAACAGACACCCAGAAGAGGCACCCAAGCAGACAAGGCGGTCAAGTTCACAAGTTATTCCCAGAGAGGGGAGAGTGGGACAGACCAGGGGCCTGGCGGCTCCCTGGTGAGGGTTAGAAGGGCAGGGACGAGGAGTTTCCTTCTGTCTTGGGACTTCCTGTAGGGATTCCCATACGTTGGTGTGCTTTGGCAACTTTGGGGAATGGTCATTCACGGGCTTCTCCTCTGAAGCTTCTGACTGGATCTGACGGCAGGGTGACCCTCATGCCTGCACTGTTATCAGCTCCCTGGGTGACTTACCTTGGATGTCTGATGACCGAACCTTGCAAAATGTTGCTGTCCTGTGATACCACACGTGAGTCACAGGTGAGAAAAGTTGAGAAATAATGCTTCAGGGGGTTGCCACACAACATTTGGAGAACAGGGAGACCTCTGATACACAGTGTGGCTGACTGCTAACCTAAGGTGACCAGACGTCCCACTTTTGGCGGGACAGTCCTGATTTTTAACAATTTTTCCCACGTCCCGCAGCATTTTAAAAAAGTCCCAATTTTTGGAAAGAATGCATGACAAGCTAGGGTATATGGTTTTCAGCTGCCATGTGGCTATTTTGCCAGAATATGAGTTTTACCAATGGTGTCCCGCTTTTGTCCCGCTTTACCAATGTTAAAACCTGGCTAACCCCTCCTCGTGTTTCTTTAAGTTTGCCTCTCTTCCCTCTGTAGTCACCTTTATCCCCATGCCTCCCAAAGAAGGCGTGCCTTCATTGTGAAGCCTTGTGCCAATCAGATGTTTCTAAGCTTTATGGCATGTCAGGGTCTCAGTGGGGCTTAGTTGCTGTGAACCCGGAAGGTCAAGGAAAGTGAGGGGGGTGAGGCTGGGAAAGGGTTGCTAAACCTGAGGGTTACATTGATTGACTCCGCTCAAAGGGAAGGCGAGGGGGGGTGGTCAGGCACTATTCTGTTCTCTGGAGGCAGTCACCGGCCCAAGAGGGGAGAGGGAACTTCTCTGGGCTCAAGGGAGAGCAGAGCACAGTACATCAAAGAGTTTAATGGGTTTTTAAAATAATAATAATAATAGTAATATGCTTAAAGGTTTTCTTTCCAAGAAAAGGAGGGATACCTAATAAAAGGAGAAAAAGGGAAAGCTTCATACACTTACAAGTGTAATGCTGTCATTTTGTTTCTACCGTAGATGTTTATTTGAATGGGAATGGCTAACAAGTCTGTGCCCATGATTAGAGACCCCTGCCCCCACCCCTTCTGGCTCTAAGTTGCACATCTGGGGGGTGGCATGCTGGGGCAGCAGAGCAGAAGGGTCCCTGTGGGATGCAGATCTACCTGGTCTCTATCTTCACTCCAGGGGAGAACTGCTCTCCTGGATGCAAGGCCAGACAATGCTATAAGGTGACCCATGGCTGGAGAAGCAGCATGCCAAGTGCTGGGGGCAGCGCTGCCCTGGGCTCAGACTGCCACCACGACCTCTGAGCCCCTTGGGAATGTGACCCGACAGCCTGAACATCTATAATGTCGGAGGACTGACTGGCGTTGCTAACTTCATGGTCTGAGAAATCAGATTAGAAGTACACTGAAACGCAATGAGCGTTTGTTCCATTGAATTACCTAACAAGCCAACGTGCATGTTAGAACGAGCTGAGAGTAGGAAAGGATGCTTTTCGAGTTACCTGTCGTGTTTCAGTACAGGGGTGGGCAACACACTTGTCAGAAGCCATCCGAACTCGGCCAGAGTGTGCAGCAGAGGGCCATAGTCCGATTTGATTTCCCAGCCCTGCAGGGTAAGCACGGGCGCACATAGTCAAGTGGCAAAGACAACCAGCTACACAGGTCATTATAAGAAAGGTTGATGGATGTAATGATAAGGGGTTCGTTCTCTGTTAGCACAATTCGCCCCGGCTGTAATCCCGTGGGCTGCATTTTCTGCTACTTGCTGCCTTTCTACCCCAGAGCTGAGTTTGCAACCCTGAGTGGGTCAGACTGGAAAGAAGTTTGGGTTGTCCTCAAAAAATTCATTTCCACTGAGTCCATGTCAACTCACAACCACCCTATGGGGCAGGGTAGAATTCTCCCTGTGAGTTTTGGAGACCATCAACTGTTCTTAGAGTAGAAAGTTCTTTCTCCTGAGGAGTGGGTGGTGGTTTTGAACTTGTGGATTGCAACCAAAAGCATAACCACTGCACCACACTAGGCTCTGGGGCTGTCCTTAGGTCATGTGAAAGAGCCCATGTGATGTTGTGAGATAAGTATTAGACTGCAAACCAAACGGTCGGCAGTTCAAACCCACTAGCCATGCTCCGTGGCAGCAAGGTGCAGCTGGCTGCCCCATCAAGACGAATCTCAGAAACCCCACACGAGGTCACCATGGGATCAAATTGATTCGATGGCAATGGGTTTTAGGTCTGGTTAGGGCACTGGTTCTCAAACTTCAACGAGGAGGCCCCAGAATGTACATTTTCATTTTTGAAAACTCTCCATGTGATTTGGATCCAAGTAGTTTGTAGGCTGAAGGACCCTGGTGATGTAGTGGTTATGCGTTGGGCTACAATCCACCGGGTTGGCCATTTGAAACCACCAACGGTTCTGAGGGAGAAGACTGGGCTTTCTACTCCCGTACACAGCTACAGTCTCGGAAACCCATGGGGTGGGGTGCACCGGCGTTACTATGAATGAGCATTGACTCACGGGCAGTGAGGGCTTTAGACTGCCCTCGCAGAAACGGTCATTTGAGAAGAGAGGCCCAGGGTGGGGAACCGACGTTGGGTGGTGAGGGGTGCATAGGTGTAGAACGTCTTTTCAGCTTTTATTCATTTGCCACTGAAGAGTTTTACTTGGAACGCTACCTCTTGCCCAAATTCATTTTGTCTCCTTCCCCAAAACATTGACTAGTGCTGTGAAGATGGGTGACGTCTCTCCACCCTTTGTAAGGCAAGGAAGGAGAACGTGTCTGACAGCACTTGCCGGCTGGGGCCTCCCACGCGCCAGAGGCCCCGGGGCCAGCCTGTCTCCCTCTTGGTCAGGGCACCCAGCAGCGGCCATGCCAGCTCTGACGGGGAAGGACCATGCTGTGTGTACGTGTTTGGCCTGGCAAAAGAAAGAACAGCTTTCTTGCCTCCGGAAGTCCATTTTCAAGGGAAAAAAAGAAAAAAAGAAAAAAGCCTTAGTCACGTTATTGGTGGAGATAAAATCATAGTTAATTAAAAAAAATTATTTTCTCAACTTTTAGCCAGTTGCCACAACCTTGGGTAAGTAGGCTTAGTATCCAAAGACTTTGTTTAGGTAGAATGCCACACCTGGGAAAACTTGCTTCTATGGATAGATACCCATTTTACCATCTTTACCGAAAAAAAAAAAGTTTGACATTGGGTGAAGTAAAGCAGACCTCTCTTTTTGAAAGACGTTAATTCAAGCATGTGTTAAGATTCCAAATCCTAGGGAGGGAGGAGAAAAATGAGAAGCTGATGCCAGGGGCTTGGGTGGAGAGCGAATGTTTTGAGAATGATGAGGGCAATGAATGTACAAATGTGCTTTACACGATTGATGTATGTATGGATTGTGATAAGAGTTGTATGAGCCCCTAATAAAATGATTTAAAAAAAAAGAGAGAGATTCCAAATCCTGAACAAACTGGTTGTGGTAAAGTGAAATTTCTTTATATGGCTCTTCTCGATAACTCTGTAATTCCCTCCAAATGATCAGGTGGGCTGATACAAAGAGGGTGTGCACACACCCATAGAGGAACTTGTGCAGTGTCGATTGCCATGGCCTTGGCTAGAAGAGCGCTAACTCAGAAGCAGGAACAGAGAGGATTCCCAGGACCAGCAAGGAAGAAGAGATCCCAGTGGAACCTGTTGAACCCCTCCCTGATGGTGGGGGCTGAGACCAGAGGCATCAGAGGCGGCTGCACCGGAGACCGTAGGATAGAGCAAAGGAGCCGCGCCGAGACAGAGCAGAGTGGCTGTGAGACAGTGAGGTGGAGCAGGAGGTGGGCTTCCTGGGCCACTGAGGCAGAGGTCAAGGGACCACATGGCCGAGAGGCTGAAAAGAGAGAGAGAGACTTGGCTGCCGGCCGAGCAGAGATGTTACTGTGGACCAGTGACTGTATCTTTAATGTTTTCTGATCCTGGCTTGTGGTAACCTGTTAACTTTCCTAATAAATCCCCAGGATGGTGAGTATTGTCTGTGTGTTCCGTGCTGCCACGGCAATGGATTATCCAACCCACGGTGAAGTGGACCGCCGTGGGAAGAACGGTTGGTGTGAGCACCGAGTTAGAAGGATGGAGGGGGAAGGCATGTTTGTGGCAGTCGGCCTTGGGTTGCTGAGAAGTCGGATTCACCATTTGCCTTGTGTCCCCAGAGAGGTCAGACAGTCTCCTTCCCTTTTTTGCACCTGTGTTTAAGGTTTGCTCGTCTGCTAGTCAAGGAAGGTCTTAAACAGGTAGAACTAAAAATAACAGTACAGCTAAATGTGAGAAAATGGCAACTCACCTCAATCACGGTCCATTGCTCTACAATGATGGCATCATTTCTTTTCTGGCTAGAACCTGGGTCTCCAGAACTTTCTTCATAGATAAATAATCCTTCCAAAGATTTGGGCAAATAGTCCCCTGTGAGGAAAAGAAGAAAACTCGGTGTCTCTTAAAAGCCATCTGAATCCTTAAATAAACTTAGTAGGAAGTGGAAAGAAAAACATATCAATTGATAAACACTTGTTTGGGCCTGAATCAATCACATCTTCCTCTTCTTTAAAGGTTAACTGTCTGGCAGAGGTCAAGGCAGCTTTGTGTTTCACCAAATCAAAAGCAAACCAGAATCATGAGGACAACAGTGGCGAAAACAAGAGAGATAGTCTGATGCAGCAGACGGTGAAAAGTGAGTGGGGCTTCTGAACCACGAAAGCACATGGCAATGACCTTCACCTTGACACCACATTTCAGTTTTGGATCTATATGTAGTACATACTTCTACCATTAAGGGAAGAAACATAAAAAGGATAACCCCTGAAATGAGAGGTCTGATATTAAAATTAATGGGAGATAAGATTACTTCAAACTATGTAAACACAAAACAGCTCTTCAATGATGCTTTTTAAAAAGAGGGGGGCAGGCAGGGGGTGCTGGCGGTGGTGACAGGAAGACCTTAAGCTGAAGTCATTGTGCAGAGAATTCCTGCTGGGAAGGAAGTCTTAAGGGAGGGCCTCTCTGACCTGTTTCTTAAATAGTTACTGACAATAGCCAGCTGGCCTGCATGAAACGGATTTCTACGGAAATTCTTTTGTTCCTAATTTGCAGCAGTGGACACTTTTCCATGGTCATGTGCTGGTTAAACATCTTGGTTTCCATATTGCAGCACAGGGTCACATCAAAATCTCCCTGGTTGGCCGTTCTCTAAATAACAAAGGCTTACAAAGGTTTCAAATGATCTCTAAAGTTTAAAAAGCCAGAGGCAATTTCAATGTTAGTTTCAGAATTCATTTTCAGTAACAGATCATGAACTTTAAGACAGAAAAAAAATAAGCTTCTCCTTCTTTTGATATCACTCATGGTCAGGACTGAATGCCACCAGGAATCCAGATGATTCAAAGTGGTTTCCCCCAAACCCAGGCAAGTTTGGTGTACGAATTGGAATTGCTTTTCTAAAAGAGTTGCTGTTAGGTGTTGTCATTCCGACTCACAGCAAGGTCATGTGTAACAACATGACATACTGCCTGGGGCTGTGCAATCCTCATACCTGCTGATCTACTTGAGCCCACTGCTGCGGCCAGTGTGTTCACCCGGCTCCCGGAGGGTCTTCCTCTTGTTCAATGACCTTCTACTTCACCAAGGATGATGCGCTGATTCTAGGGACTAGTCTCTCCAGATAGCATCCCAAAGTAAGTCTTCCCATTTTTACCTCTTAAAGGACATTCTGGTTGTACTTCTTCCAGACAGATATATTTTTCTCCTGACAGTCCACGGTACTGTCACTATTCTTCGCCAGCACCATAATTCCAACACATGGATTCTTCTTCGGTTTTCCTTATTCACTGTCCAACTTTCACATGCATATGAGGGCGATTGAAATACTGTGGCTTCGGTCAGGACCACCTTAGCCCTCGAAGTACCATCTTTACTCTTTAACACTCTAAAGAGGTCTTGTGCAGCAGACTTTCCCAATGTAATACACCCTTGAATTTTTGACGGCTGCTTCCATGAACACTGATTGTGGATGCAAGCAAAAGGAAATCCTCGACAACGTCTCCATCCTTAACCATCTTCCCTCCATTTATCATGGTGCGATTGATTGGTACAGTTGTGAGGATTTTGTTTTTCTTCACACTGAGTTTCGAGCCTTGCAGAAGGCTGCAATCCTTGATCTTCGTCATCAAGTGCTGCAAGTCGTTCTCGCTTTCAGCCAGCAGAGTTAAATGACCTGCATAGGGCAGGTTGTTAATCGGCCTGCCTTCGATCCTGATGGCACATTCTTCTTTATATAGTTGGGGTCACAATGATTTGCTCAGCATACAGATTGAATAAATATGGTGACAGGATACAGCCCTGAAGTGCATATTTACTGATTTTAAACCATACAGGATTATCTTGTTCTATTCGAATGAGTGCTTCTTGGCCAGGCTCTGCATGAGTACAATAAAATATTCTGTGATTTCCATTCTTCTCAATGTTACCCATAGTTTGTTATGATCCACACTGTCGAATGCCTTTGCATAGTCAATAAACCACAAGTATGTATCTTTCTGGTGTTCTCTGCTTTCAGCCAAGATCTACATCACCCCAGCAGTGATATCGTTCATGCCAAATCCTCTTCTGAATCTGTCAGAGTACAGAACACTCCCAGAATACTCCCATTTCCTTCAGTCACTCTGGGGGTGCAGTGGACCCTCTAGCCATTGAGCTGCTAACCACATGCTGGCAGTTTCGACCCATCTGTCGCTGTGCAGGAGAAAGATGAGGCTGTCTATTCCTCATCTCAGATATCAAAGGGCAGTTCTACTCTGCCCCACAGGGTCATCGTGAGTCAGAATTGACTTGAAGGCAGTGGATTCCCACTTGCTTCAGATTCACGTGTCCACTGCCACACCAAGTCACCAGTCAATCACACCTATTTCTGAATGGGAGGCTAGGGCAGTACTAGACCATCTGCAAAACTGTGTGTGCTTCAAGTCCTATTTTTGAGTGGGAGGTCCGAGTTTGAAAAATAATGATCTAGGTGATACTTATGCAGTTAATGACAAACCACCTTTTACTTTGGGATTTGATCATGTGAAAATGACGGGCTCTTTGACTCTGGGTTTCTTTCCATACTCTCATTATTGGGGTTCTCCAGTATTTCTAAACTTGCTTTGATGTAAAAGAAAAAGCGGTGAATTATTCAACAGAATACTATACAAGGATGAAAAAGAAAGATTCACTGCTCCCTGCAACAACATGAATGGATTTCAGAGCTATTGTGGTGAGTAAAATAAGTCGGACACTGAGGAGTACTGAGTAATTCAACCTATTTAGGGCGAAGCAAAAACTGATCTATGGTGATAGACAAGAATGGAGCTATCTCAGTGTTGACGGGAGGGGGTGTGGGGTGGGGGTGCGGTGGGGGTGGTGCCACGTTGACTGACAAAGGGCATGAGGAGGCCTTTGGGGAAGCTGGAGATGGTCTGTATCTTGAACATCTGTGTTCTATCCATCCAGTGTACACATAAGATTCACGCACTTTCCTGGGTGTGTTATACGTCAGTTAAAAGCAGAAGTCAGGAGCTGATACCAAAGGCTCAAGTCGAAAGAAAATTTTTTGGAATGATGATGGCAACAGATGTATAAATGTGCTTGATACAATTAATGTGTGGATTGTGATAAGAGCTGTAAGCGCAATACAATGATTTATTAATAAGAATAAATAATAATAAACAATAATTACACTTCCCCTGAGCTTCTGGCTGATTCTCTCAAGGTTCCCAACTATCCTAAAGCCACGTGGGGACTGACACTCAGACGGGAGTTCTGTATCTCATGAGACCTCCTCCCTAACAGAAGTTAGTGGTGGCTAGAGATGGTGGCAGGGAAGGTCTCATGGGAAAATGATCATTTGGGTGCCTAGTGTGTTTAATCTTCCAGGTAATGTGGTGAGGTAGTCATTCTGAGCAATGACTTCATAATTGTCCTCAAGCTGAGTCACCTCTCCACATTACATAACCCAAAGCTGCCCAGCAAGTGTGCTTGGACCCAGTAGTGCACTTGGCACAGGCTACAGGTGTGCCAAGATACAAGGACAGGCACCTTCCTCCCCAGAGCAGCTTCATCCATGTATATCAGTGTGCTTAATGGCGTGTTATGAAACGGTGGCAAAATATTTGCCTCACCTGCTGCTTTTAAGTACATAAATATAAATAAGTAATGAGTAAGTGAAAAATGAAACTAACTACCACTAAAGGAGAGTGCACCAGCGTCCTTGAAGGATGGTCTCCAAGACAGAATGAAGCTGGTTCAGGACAGCTGATCGGCTCTGTAAAGTCAGGCACTCTTAAAAAGCCGTGCCAAGGTTGCGATTCTTTCAGATAGGTAGCGTTCCATCCTGTGCGATGAAGTACTGCTCGCCTTCCTCCCCCCACCCAATCTCCAGGTATGCTGACGCGCCCAGCCACGTTCTCTGACCTGGGACCCCCACCCTGGCAGCATACCGGAGGGTGCTTGAACCCCGGTGGAGAAGCACAAGTTTAAAGGACTGCTTTGGATATGATGCTGGTGGTCCTATGTGAGGCAGCCAATGCTTCATTTTAGTATTTTGGGTCCATGTGCCATTTTCGACATTAAACTACCAAAGCTGGGCCCAGGACCACTTCTGAGACCTGCAGGACAGGCACCGGCCGCATTCGTGTTCTGCACCCACACGGCGCACATTTGCTGTGCAGGACGAGCCTCAGCCTTCGCACGTCTCACCCCCTCCGTTGTTATTTCTCCCGTGGACCTCCGTAACAGCCAGGTCTGCACTTGGCCTGGATGCTCCACTTCCCAAGATGAGGCCGAGGGAGCACGTGCAAGGAGGGACACCAGGCCCGGCATCTGAATGGCTTGGAGGGGCAATCTCGGCAGCACGGCCAGCGAGTTAAAAACACGCACGGAACCCTCACTTTCGCTGTGGGCAAAGCATTGACTTTCTCTGTGCCTCAATTTCCTCATAGGTGAAAGACAATAATCACACTACTTATTAGGTTGTTGTGGGGCCAAAGGAGTTAATAAATGTAAAATGCTTAGAACGATGCTGGTATATAGTAAGTTCAAAATGCATGTTAGCTATTGTTGCTGTTAATATTAGTCATAAAACCATTGGCATGAGTGTTAGTCTTTTGATTAGAGAGATAACATGTTTTTTTTTTAATTTAATAAATCATTTTATCGGGGGCTTTTACAACTCATCACATCCATCCATTGTGTGAAACACATTTGTACATACGTTGTCGCTGAGGAAGGAGGATTCTTGGTTTAGTGGTTCACACATCGAGCTTCCATCCACAAGGTCAGCAGCTCGAAACCACTAGCTGCTGCATGGCGCATGTTGCCATCCCATCACCCCTTTCAAAACATTTTCTTTCCACTTGAGCCCTTGGTATCAGCTCATTTTTCCCTCCCTCGCCCATCCTCCCACCCTGGTGACCTCTTGATAAATTATAAAGTATTATCATTATTTTGATATCTTATACCGTCCACTGTCAACATGGGGTTTTAATGACTTTTTCGTTACAGTTGCCTTCATGAAATTAAAAAAAAGCTACCAAAATAGTAGAGGTCATTGCCGGTCCCCTTCACTTAGCTTCTTTCCAGTTGTTTCCTCCAATGGCAACATCTTATGTCCTATAGTCCTTGATAAAACCCGGGAACTCGACTGGCAGAATATGCACTTTTAACCAGGCTCCATTTGGCTTTGTAACAGGCACTCATTTTGGGCGGGAGAGAAACGCACGGTGGTGGTGGGGTGAGCGGGAGAAACTGCCAGAACTGGAAGCCTTTGAGCTCTTCCCTGGACCCCTCCCCCTGCCCCATCTCATCCACAGCTGCCCTCCCTGCACCTGCCTGTGTACCTGCTCCAGCAAACACAGAACTCCCCACCCCCCAGCTCCCTTTCCTTCTTGGGGCTCCTGGGAGTGTTTGGAGGTGTCATTTGCCTAGAGTGGTCTCTCTTGCCTGCCTGGTCCCAGTCTCCGTGTGACTGTGACCCTATCAGGACCTGCTGACCACCTTCCCTATCGCGATCCCCAGTAGGATAAACTCGTAGCCCTATTTCTCAATGTTCAGAAACAGGCATCCGCCTACCTTTTGATCCCGGGTTCCGCCTGACAGATGCTACTCTATTTGGCTACTTCCTTCAGGCTAGGCAGACAAGCCTTTTGCTCATCGTGGTGAACACAGACACACGAAAGGTCCGCCTGTCGGTCCACTGTCCCTGCTCTCCCCCATTCCTCCTCTGCCAACTCCACACAGCAGTTTCACAGGGTGAACAGGTAGCAAGTGAAACTGGCAAAGAGTCATAAAATCCCCAAACGCAGCCTCCAGAGGGACAGACGACCATGCCCTGGAACTGGTGTGTGTGTGTGTGTGTGTGTGTGTGTGTGTGTGTGTGTGTGTGTGTGTTGGGGGGGGGGGCGGATCTGTGGCCGGAGTGAAGTGTAAGAACCTCAGCAAGTGTGTGTGTGATACCAGCTGGTGAAGCGCCTCACCTCGGCCCATGCCAGCTGGATCTGGTAGAATAAAGTGCTTGTCATTTCCGTTGGGTCAGCCCCCTGCAGGCTCTCTTGGATTCCTGTCCCACGACCGCGCACCCCCCAATGCAAGCCCCATTTCAGCTGAAGGCTGGGGGTGCAGGCCCAGTAATGTCCCAGAACCTCAGGGGTTCAGATCTGGGCCTGTAGCCCGAGCAGGCTGCAAGAACTGCATGTGGGCCACGGGGGACCGTCCCTGTGGGGCCTTTGAAAGCAGATACAGGCTGTCGAGGGGGAGCGTGAAAGGAGATTGAAGTGGAATTTCCCAGACCCTACATTTTTTGGTCCTGGAGCCTTGCCAAAGTTGAGAAGCTTTGAGAAAGCTTCTTTCTCTCTCTTGCTGGAGGAAGCGTCTATTGCAGTGGGATTTGTTGAGTATTATATTTAAAATCTCCGAGCGGCATCTGGTTTTGTGCTTCTACTCTACGTGGAGGGCTGACTTCTGATGACATTTTGGAAGAGGACAAAGCCAGACAGACAAACTATGCATTGTCCCTGTGTGCTTCAGATGTCAGGCATCACACGTCGCAGAACAAAGTGATCTGGCTTAGCCATGCTTCCTCTGACTGGCTTCTCACAGTGACACAGACCCTGGTCACAGTTTTCCATCTGCAGCTTCCATGTGGACTCCCAGGAAAGTCCCCAGTGACACACCCAGTTGACCAATTGCCAGACCCCACAGACCCCAGAGGCTGTAATGTAAAATGTCTAAGGAGACATTCCAGAGCTGCAGAGGGGAGAGTCGCCCCCAGGCTCTCTAAATAGCTTCTGAAGCTATAAGAACAAAAGCCCCACAGAGCTGGGAGCTGGCAACTGCTGGGGCTAATTTTATTTTCATCAGGCAGAACTCTGCAGAGAAGCCTGAGGGAGAGCCTGTCAAAGGAATATTTCCCCTTTTTTTTTCACCCCCCTGTGGCAGTTAGTGACAACTCAGACGGAAAATGGCTCCAACTGGCATTCTTCGGACAGGAAGAGCACGAAGAAAGAAATGTTTTAAAGTGCACACTGGACTCCAAATTAATGAAATTAATTTTAACTCACCGCCATCGAGTCAGAAAAATTCTGACTCCTGATGACCGTAGAGGTCTGGGTAGAACTGCTTCTGTGGGTTTCTGAGGCTGTAACGCTACGGGAGTAGAAAACCTCCTCTTTCTCCCGAGGCGCCGATGGTGGGTTAGAACCACTGACTACGCGATTAGCAGCCCAACTCGCAACTCACAATGCCATCCAGGCTCCTATGTGCCAAGGGATCCACACGATAAACACACACGCAGCAGGAAAGAGGACTAGCCTGGACTAAACGCCAAGTGCACTAGAGAGTCACTTACACAGACCACCTGTTAAATTCTTCCAACAATAAAGTGGGTGGCATTGTAGCCCCCTTTTTTAGAATTAGTAAGCCCCGCTAACTTCGCACCATCACACAGCTAATAAATGGAAGATATGAAATTTGAACCTTGGTCTGTCTGATTCCAAAATTCATGCTCTTCCTATTGCTATTTTCATACGAGATCAAGTTTGAAGAAGTTTCCAATTATCAAAGAACACGAGGAAAAAATTTATTGAGCAACTAGTAGATACCAAGAACACTAGATAGCGCCCCCAAACCAGAATAATTTAATACATCTAGATAATAGCTGGTGTGTGCAGGCATCAGCCTCTTGGATTGAGCTATTGTAATATTTTATTTAAGACATTCTACAGTGGTTCTCAACCTGTGGGTCTCTACCCCTTTGGGGGTCTAATGACTCTTTCATAGGGGTGGTTTGATTCATAATAGTAGCAAAATTACAGTTATGAAGTAGAATGAAAATCATTTTAAGGTTGGGGGGTCACCACACACGAGCAACGGTATGAAAGGGTCGTGGCATGAGGAAGGCTGAGAACCACTGTACCAGATGACCTCACACAACTCTACTATTGAGTCGATTCTGACTCAGAGATCCTATAGGGGGCAGAGTAGAAGCACCTCTGTGGGTTTCTGAGACTGCACATCTTCACAACAGTAGAAAGCTTTGTCTTTCTCCATGGATCTGCTAGTCATTTCAAACTGCTGACCTTTCAGTTAGCAGCCCAATGTGTAACGTCGTCTATTCTCGATGGCAAACATTACATGATAATTCTATTGCCAACACTGGGCCTCCAGTTGATCGCAAGACTGATAAGCTTTTAACTTAAAGCTATACAACTATGAAATGTTTGGGACCCATTTCCTTAGGAATATCATTTCTCCTTTTATTCATGAGAGAACATGAGAAACACAAACATTTTCACCAGCTGTGACACCGGTATAAACATACCACACAAGAAAACATACCTGTAGGTGTTTCCCAGCATACAAAAGAGTCAATTAAAGACAAGCCTTGCTTATAATAGTATGTAGTTAGCTCTAGCCAGTCAGCATCGAGTGTACAAATGGCAGCTCCTTTTCTTGTTACTTTCATTGACAGAAGGCCTTCCTGATAGGTCCAGCAGGTTGATTCGTCATTAAAAACATTGTAGACTGCATACAACTTGTTATCTGAGGATAAGTTTTCAGAAGGGGATATTGTAATCTCATTCACCAACGATTCTTAGAATCATTTTAAAATCATGAGATATTTAAACATAGGAGTAAGTAAAGAGAATTCAAAAAGCACTCACCACTCAGCCTTACTGAATGAACAGTATACCATTCTTGCCTCAGATGATTGCTTTTACGTTTTCAAGGAATAAGAAAGAGAGAGGGTTGAGGCTCACTACGTGATCTCCACTGACCCCGTCACCAGAAGTAACTCTTACCTTGACTTTGGCTGTTACCGGCTCACACGAGCTTTTAATTCTTTTAGTGTCCATTTTATACCCAGAGCACACCATGGGTAGCAGATTTTAAAACTTTCTTTAAATGGTATCGTGGTGTAGATATCAATCTAGAAATTGCTTTTTATGTTTTTCAAACACAACTAGGCTAGTACATGCAGATGCAATTCATTTATTTTTTCTGCTACTTAGTACTCAGGTTTACCCACTGAATTCTCTTGTTGATGGACATATATATTATTTTCAATTTTTTGTTCTTACAAACAATGCTGCAATTAACGTCTCCTTGGGCACATGTCTGACACTGAGTCCAGAAAACATTCTTAGATGTGGAATGGCTGGACTACATTTTCTATTTTACTAGAAATTGCCAAATTTCTGAGTTGGACCCTAAGAACCCAAATCTATCAATGTGTTTTAGGAAATCTGAGCCTGTTCATTGTGTTACAAACATATTTGGTATGTATGCGTTCTGTGCAATTTGCCAGCTCAGTCTCAGATTCCATCAGATTCTGCAAGAGAATGTCCCACCCCAAATGCAGACCCACTGCCATAGAAGAGTATGTGATTTTAAAATAAACTGTTCAGAAAGTGAAATTTAAAGAGAGTTAAGAGGTATATTGGGTTTAGAACTGAAAGCACTTGACAAAACCATCAGATTTTATCAAAGTCAGCGTGGGAAGCAGCAGAGAGTTTAAAGATAGTAGTGGGTGGATTGAGGCTTCAACAACTCTTGCTCAGTTGTTGCCCACTCAGGGCTGTTGATAAGGCCATCAGTCAAACCGAACTGAACTGAACTGAATTGAACTGAACCCAACCAACTCAACCTAACCCAACCCAGAGCCATTTGCCACTGACTTGATTCTGATTCTATATACAGCAGCAGTTCTCAACCTGTGGGTTGTGACCCCCCTGGGGGTCGAACGACCCTTTCACAGTGCTTGATTCATAACAGTGGCAAAATGACAGTTATGAAGTAGCAACGAAAATACATTTATGGTTGGGGGGGCGGGTCACCACAACATGAGGAACAGTATTAAAGCGTCGCGGCATGAGGAAGGTTGAGAACCACTGATGGAGTGTTTTTGAAGCTTTCTAAAGCTTTAGGGCCTCCCCTTTCTCCTGCTGATCATCACTGGTGGGTTTGAATGCTGACCTTGCTGTTAGCAGTCCAATGTTTACCATCAGGGCTCCTTTCCCTCAGCACCAACACCAGTCAAAGTGTCGAAGACCCAGGGCTTATTCTGTGCCTGCGAAGGGATGTAGCTAAGCACTGTGAAGGCGGCTCTCATTAGCTTCTCACAAAGCCTCATGAGGTAATTTCTACTATTACCCTTATTATAAAGACATTGAGATACTCTGACTCCACAGTCTTATCTCTAACGTATACATGGTCTTTGATGTTCTCCAGTGTGGTTCTTAGATTGCCGATAAGGGGTCAGGAAATTGAACATTTCAAACAACATGAATACAATAGTCTCAAATCCTAGGGAAGACTTTCTAGTTGGCAAAGAAGAAGAAGAAGAAAACCCTATTTTTTAAAAAGTTATTTTACGTTGTAGGCACTATTGTGATTTAATTACTTCAGAATGAGGGGCTATTTTCATATTCTAATTGATGATCAAAGAAAGCCAGCTAACTTCAAAGCTGAAAGCCATCCATGAAGTGGGAATGGCTAAAATGAAAATTCCCATAGACTATTTATAAGGACCAAACTAAGTAAGAACAGCTTTATTTATAGAATCATTTCTTTGTTTCAGCCTGCATTTCACGAGGGAGTTAGTGGCGGATTAAATGGAAACAAACTTTCCATGCAAAGTTCTTTAGGTGGAGAGCTTTGCCTGCTTGTACTGCAGTTGCAATGAATTTGCAAATTTATAACAAGTTCATGACTGGGAATTGACTCGTGACAGTGAGTTTATCCCTCACCAGGAACACCCAATTATTTTCTCGCTGGTGTGTAACATCATCTGACACGTGATGCATTTAGTTATGTGTGCACCTGTGAGGGTGACCTGGTGACACGGTAGTTAAGGAAGTGCTCAGGGGCGGACGGAAAGGCTGGTGGGTGGAAATGATTCAGCAGTTCTGTGGGAGAAAGACCCAGGGCTCTGCTCCCATCAAAGGACAGCCTGGGAAACATCACTGCCCAGCTCTTCTCTGTCCCCTGGGGTTGCTCTGAGTCAAAGTCAACGCAATGCGCCTAAGGACAATACCAGCATGGCCAGTTTATGTTACTTCCTGTAGTCTTTCTTTAGAAGCTTACTCCACCTCAAATTCCTTCGGAAAATCTTAAAGACGTATCTTGCTGTATGAAAACTCGTCCTACAGTCTAATGGCACTCATCTGGTCTATTACCTTCTCCCGTTCTGGATTTTGAGAAATCGGGGCTGCCGTCTTGACCCATCTGAGATGTGTTGCTTTCTCGATGAAACTCGTCCTCGATCCCACTTTCAGATGACTGCCCACTTAACGTTCCTTCCTGCCAACTTCCACAGTTTTCACGTGAGCCGCGCCTCCCGGACGGCGTGGGTTCTGCTTCTGTCTCCGTGGGGGCAAGGCTGCTTCCATTGCAGAACTCAGCCGGAGGACCATGCTGTGGTACGAATCCAACGAACCTCACTCCTCTCTGAGCAGCTGCATTCACCTGAAGTTTAAAAGGAAAGGGGAGAACGTAATGCAATCTTGATTTATTTAGATTGTATCAGTTCACCATTAGGCTGATTGAGGACATTCATTAGAGAGAGTAACTTATCAGGTCAGCATTAGGCTGATTGAGGACATTCATTAGAGAGAGTAACTTATCAGGTCAGCATTAGGCTGATTGAGGACATTCATTAGAGAGAGTAACTTGACCAGTTAAGAAAGACCACCCGCTCATTAATAACCCCTCCTGTAGCATGCTCTGGTGGCATGAGCCAGCTCTCAGGAGAAGGATGTGGTGTTTTGCTCTCCACGCAGTCAAGTCAGTGGCAGCGAGTTTGGTTTAGTGATTTACAGGCACCGCAGAAGAACAGTCTGGTGATCTACTTCCAAAGCTCCAGTCATTAAAAGCTCTGGACCGTACTTCTGCTCTGACACACGCGGAGCACCGTGAGTTGGAACACACTCGGTGGCAATTGCTTTAGCTGGCAGTGTCACGCCCTCTGCAGGTGACGTCACGCCACCCTCATGTCCTCTTGAAACTGAGGGTGTGCACACTATAAGTAAATAAGAACCATCTTTTTCCTGAAAGGCTACCTTTGGAAACCCGGTCTCATAGCATGATTTCTGCAGCTCAGTTAACAGTGAGTGGTCTGTCTAGTTGAGGCAAAATTTAAAGCTGTTGTAAGAAATTTCCAATATTACCAAATATAGCTTCATCCATGAAGAAGAGATTTATTTATTCATCACATGCAAGCCACCACAAAATGACCAATGACGGACAAGAGGTGGATTTAGCCTTTAAGAAACAACCCACTTAATTATATCTGGATCCTCCCTGGTCTAACAGAGCCTTGGTGGCGTAGTGGGTGGTGCATTGGGCTGCTAACTGCAAGGTCAGTGGTTTGAAACCACCAGCCATTCTGAGAGAGAAAGATGAAGCCTTTTAGTCCTGTAAATAGTTACAGGCCCCCAAAGCCACAGGGGTGTCCTGTAGGGTCACTATGCGTCAGAATTGACTTGATGGCAGGGGACATCTGGGACAAATTCACAACACTGGGTTCAATCCTATGGGCTGAAGACTAGGTTTCAGAAGCACAAAGCATAATGCCAGGGAGAGAATTTGGGAGCTGTAGCAGGGCACTGTTCACGCCGAGCACGGTTTCCATTCTGCTTTGGCGGCGTCGTGCCTTTGCTCTCCTTGTGTCCCTCCCGTCTCCTGTACGACACGGGGAATTCCTCAAAGGGCAGAGACCCGTCTTCTTCCTCTTTGTTCTGCACTGTTCTGTACCTAGAAGGGGTTCTGGTTCCCTAAGTACTTGTTAAGTAGGTCAAAATGAAGAAATAACTGGTCACTGTTTCCTGAGTAAATGCTACCTGGGAGGGAAAGAAAGACTTACGATGGAGGGTACAATGCAAACTTCGATGGTTAGAAAGAAAACGGGACGAGAAAGGAAGAATTGGGGCAGAACCAACCCAGAGGGGCAGGTGTCATTCAGTTCCATTGATGATGTGCATGCAGACCTGATAGTTCTATTGTACTTATTTTGGATATTTCTATTTTAAAGAGAAGCTAGAAATCTGGATTTTTATGGCTGCAAATATTGATGCCAATTTTATAAAACACCGTGAGTTAAAGAAAAGATGTCTAGGGATGACAGGGTTTGACCCATGAACTCCCAGTCTGTAACTCTCGAGTAATGGTTTGGCTCATCTAAGTTTCTGTCCACATAATAAATACATTTAATTTTCTAGCTGTCATTTTGGGTTGACTTCAGAGGGGAGCTTGTGGGATAGAGAAGAAACCCCACCAAGGAGGGGAGGTCAGGGTATGTACCCAGGGGTGAGGGAGGGGCAGGGGCAAGGTGGTAGAGTGTTGGACCCATCCGGTTTGTATAGGCTCCCCAGAGCCAATGTTGCACATTGCTCCTTCAACTGCATGCTCAGAGACACCACGCTGTACCTCGACGCTGACCAGGGAGGTAGTGTTTACACCATAGGAATCAGCAAGTGCTCCGAAGCAGTGCTCCTCTACTCTTTCTCTCGGGTTCCCTCCTTCTTCCTGTTTCTCCACTCATTGCCACGTAGAGAAAGGAAGTGGATAATCTTTGTGAGAGGACGTGGACAACAGTACTTCCGCAAGGTCGAGGTGGTACAGTATGGTGGGGTAGGCTCCCTTGTTTCCCCAGTTGATGGAAGTCCATCAAAGCACACCAGCAGTGCCGTGCAACGCTCGGTGGCTGTGCTCCACTTGAAGGCAGCCGCGTCCGCTGCCTGCCCAGCCCTTAAGACCTACAGGAGGCTGACAAAGCCAATATGAGGCCGTCCATGCTTTCCCGGAGGGCTTCTTGGAAAGTCGCTAGCTCGGCCATTGCCAGCAGATTCTCTAGAAAACATTTGAGAAGGAAGAAAGTCTTCAGACAGATTGTGCAAACGGACGAGGTGAAAACTGTGGTGTCTGGCCTGCCTTTTTGCTCCTTCCATTCACTCTTGAGTTAAGGGACGAAAGACATGCACTGTTTTAACGTGAAGACCTGGAAGCCACGCTCAAGATACCGAGTCCAGGCACCATCCACCTTCTCTGCTGCTGCCACAAGTCAAAGGACAGCAAAGGAAAGAGAGGGGAAAGATGCCTGCGGGCGCAGGGGCGGAGAAGTGGGACACAGGGTGCAGCGAGCGAAGAGGAGGGGAGCCAGCATCAGAAAGTACCCAGGAGCCCAACGCATGCCCAGGGCAGAGGTGTGAAAAGGAGAGTGGGTGTGGACATGTGGAGGAAGGATCAGGATTGGTGTCACATCATTTACTCCTGTACATTAACACCTTGCGGTAATAATGATGCAAGAAGTCTTGGGGAAAACAAACAGACAAACAACTTTTTTCCCCTGTCAAGCGGGGGGGTGGGGGTGGGGGGGAGAGGTGGTAAGGAGGCCTGGCAGTCTGCAGGTGGAAACAGTTGCATTATTATCAGCGTTTTCTCTATCTCTTATCAGTTCATTTGGATGAAAAAGGGAAAATGGCTTTTTCTGTTAATTGAAAATTTTGTCTGGAAAGGCCTGGTAACAAGGAGAGGATGATTTCCACTCACATCTTTTAAGTTGGGGGATTAGTGTTAAACAACAACAACACACTAGTGGTAAACCTGCTTTTTAACATCAAATGAACACTGGTATATTGTTTAAAACTGGTTTAGACGCTAGCTGCTGAGCAGTCGACTCTCTGTACTAGGCAACCCTTCAGGAATAACGTTTGGCATTCATCTGTTGCTCTTGTTCGTACACGGGCACTGTTCAAATATTTCATGTACTGTTTCCTGAAGGCTTTCCCCTCATGAAATAACCCCATTACTCTAATTGCTGAACTAACAGTCCTTTCCTGTTGAGACAGATCTTTAACTGTGTCCAGGGAGTCAAGTGCAAAACAAGGACCCTGATGATGAGCTATTATGACTGCATTAATAGTTATATTTTTGTTTTCAAAGGAAACTTTCTGGAGTGGATTTATTTCTAGAGAAAAAAAAGTGCTTAACTTCCCAGAATAGTAGTAATAAACAGTACACATTTTTTGTTTATAAAAGCCTACTTGCCAAGACTGCTCCTGACTACCTCATTGAATGGTGACCTTATACCTAAATGGGAAATAGCATTAGCAGCTATAGCTGGCTATACCCGTTGCACAGATAATCTATGACATCCTCATTTAAAGTCTATGAACAGTTACAGATGCTTTCTTACTTAAAATGCTTTCTTAAAATACCTTCACATTGTAACTGTGTATGTTTAAATAAAGCTAAAACCTTACAAATATGCCAATCAAACCACTAGCACTTCTACAATTGAGCTGGCCCTGCTCTAGATCGACCTTCCAGGACATAATAGAAGTGCCCAGAGGGTTTGCAAGGCTGTAAATCTTGACAGAAGCAGACGGCCATATTGCTCACCTGCAAATATACCGTAACTGAAAAAATGAAAAGAAACAAAAAGAACTTTCATAAATTCCTACCAATGTAGAATACTTATGAATGTTTGTGTGTGAGTATTTTTAGTCAACCTGAATACAGTGTTGAAATGTTCATTTTTGTTTCAATTAAGCTATATTGTATGTAGCTTTTATCTTGATATAATCAAAACAGTTATCACATTTAGTGCTCATGAAACATTCCATTGAATAGGTACATATGTCATTATCATCTTTCAATTACTGAGAATTTTACTAAGAAAACATTGAAGTTGTCGAGGATTTCATTTTATTTGGGTCCACAATCAATGCGCCCAGAAGCAATAGCCAAGAAATAAAACAATGCATTGCATCGGGCACATCTGCTGCCCAAGACCTTTGTTGAAGTGTTCAAGCACAAAGCTGTCACTTGGAGGAGTAAGGCGCACCTGACCCAAGGCGTGTCATTTGCAATCACCTTATGCCTGTGAGAAAGCAGGATAATGTATAAGGAAGACCAGAAAAAAACGGATGCATTTAAATTAGGATTTTCCACCCTCATTTGCCATTAAGTAGATTCTGACTCATAGCAAGCCAATAGGACTACCCCTGAGGGTTTCCAAGACTTTAAGTCTTTTTGGGAGCAGAAAGCCTCACCTTTCTCTTTTGGAGAGGCTAGTTGTTTTGAACCGCTGGTCTTGAATTTAGCAGCCCAACCTAACCACAGCACTACCAGCGCTCCAAATTATGTTGTTGGTGAAGAATATTAAAGATAGCATGGATTATCACAAGAAACAACTCCGAGTAGAGGAAGTACAGTGAGAATGTTCCTTAGACGTCAGGATTGTGAGATGCCATCTCCTACTTTCTGAATGTTATCAGGAGAGACTAGTCCCCGGCAAAGGTGGTCATGCTTGGTAAAGTGCGGGGTCAGTAAAACAGAAGATCCTCAAGGAGATGGATTGACACAGTGGCTACTACAGTGGAGTCAAATCTATGGGGTCAAGTCAATGTGAGGATGGCACTGGGCAAGAGGTCATTCTGTTGTGCAGAGGGTCAGAATGAACTTAATAGTACTTATCAACAATTTGCTCTTGAATACGATATCTTTGTATAAAAACCACCCCCTACCAACACCGCCCAATCCCCTTTGACAATTTTTTTCAGACTAGATTCCCAAAGTAAAGTTGAGCTATGATTCAGAAAAACTGAATTTACTTATTGCAATGTCAGTTGCAACATATGCATGTTAATGATTTTTAAAAATGAAAAACAATTTAAATTTAATTTTCTAGTTTAAGAGTGATGAGGTTGATCGAGGGAAGTGGAAGAGTTAGCCTGCTGTTAACGGATGCTAGAAATATAACGTAATTTAAGATTTAGTTTGTTAAAAATCCAAATTGTAACAGCCCCCTCCCTTGCAGTAAAAATTCCATTTAAACTTCATCAGCAGGGATGTTCCCACTCAGGAAGGAAGCTAGCAAGGTTATTCAGATAAGCATCCAGGCACAAGCAGCCCCAGCCAGAGGCCTCTGGGGCCGTGGTCCGATAAAGCCAAATTATCAAGGGTTCCTGAGGGAAGAGGTGGGGGGGAGGGAGGGGAAAAAAATGAGGAGCTGATACCAAGGGCTCAAGTAGAAAGCAAATGTTTTGAGAATGATGAGGGCAACAAATGTACAAATGTGCTTGACACAAGAGATGGATGTAGGATTGTGATAAGAGCTGAACTAGCCCCCCAATAAAATGATTAAAAAAAAAAAAAGCCAGACATGGAAACATCACCCCAGTCTAGATAAACAAGAGTCCACGAAGTTTCAGGGATGACAATCTCATGGCCCCTGGAGAAATGGAGGTGTAGATAATTTCCTGATCATTGCAAAACCTGTCTTCTCAGGGTATCAACCGTATCCTGTGACATTGTAAAAACCTGCTAGTCTCTTCCTGTAATCTTTGTTTAAAAGGCCCGTTTTCTCATAGGTTAATTAATGGTCAGGGTCAGACTGACCTTTGGTATAGCTCAGAGGAGAGCCCTGCCTGTCTTTCTTCTGCAAAGTTCCTGCAGGAATCAACTTAGAATTTCTCAAATCAACCTGATCTTCCTTTTTGGCAATTCAGTGACAGGCTTCCCAGATCTCTTGCAGCTGGTAACATTAAGAATGATGAGGTAGGTTGAACCTTTTTAAATGTCTGTTGTTTGTTTCCTTTTTGTGTTTGCTGCCCATGGCGTTGTCCACTAAAGACTGTGCATTGTCGTCATGGATTTGTACTTATTCTCTGAAGATGGAGCTGCCGTAGGACACATTTGTTGCACATTATCCTCCCTCAGCTCCCATTCTTTGTGTTTCTTTAAACTTGTTTGTCTAGTTTCACAGTACCACACCCAAACCCCACACACTGCTTTTGTCATTCCAACTCAGAGTGGCAGGGTCGAACTACCCCATAGGGCCCAAGGGCTACAATCTGTACGGAAGCAGATTGCCACGTCTTTTTCCAGTGGGGCTACTGATGGCTCCAACCGCTGACTTAGTGAGCAGCCTGGCACAGCCACGGTGCCACCAGGGCCCTTTGTTTCCACAGCACGCTGTTATAGTCAGAATCGAATACACCAATTCATCCATCCCCTCCCTCACGAGGGATATTTCAAATATGCCTATTCACCCGCACCCCCCCATGTTATGTTATACTTTTAAAAATGTCTTTGTCTCATCAGGATTGCATTGAGTTCTTTGATGGGAAGTCCATATTCTACAGACCAATCATCCTTTTTCCAAGCAACATTTATTAAGTAACCTTTGTTCTCCCATTTCATTTCATGCGGTTTATTGTTAAACTTTGAGAATGTGTTTCAATGTCTTGCTGGCATCTGCATTCTGATTTAGTGACCTGCATTTCTGTTATTAACTGTGTCCTGTTGGGTATTCAACATATTTTAAATTCTGGTTGAATAAGTAATCGATTACGTCCACTTTTTTTTTGAAAAATAAAATTGATGCAGAAGAAATGCCATCCACAGCTTAGTACCCCATGAAAAATGCAGACATGAAAGAAGTACCTTGCCGATCAGTTCTTTCGCTGTGTCATTTGCTTGCATCTCATAAGTTAGGGGAAATTCCTCGATCACAAGCCTCGCGCGTCGTTGTCCGCCAGGTGCTGTTGAATGTTTGGGGCTGTAACAGAGAGAATGTGTTCGTGGTTGCAGGTCAATCCCTCATTTCCAGCTAACATGCTCACAGGAGTGTGCCTGAGCCACTCACAGAGAAGGGCAGGGCAGGCCTTCAATGTTGCTGCTGTTGGCGGCTGTCTTATAATACAAAAAGGCCAGAAGCACATACTAACGTCAATGATTCAAACGTCTGTTAATCTCGTGATCTAATCTAGATATTAAACACATCTTTGTGAAATTTCTGACAATGGCTTTAGATCACCAAAGCACCTCGTTAGTGTCCACAGGCGCAAGTAAAACCCTATTTAACGCAGAGACATGTTGCCGCGTCGTTTTCCTTTTTCCTGATAATAATTTCCTTGCTTATTCTTCGCAGTCGTCAGGGCTCTGCCAAGCCTCGGCGAGGCGAGGCTGGACGCAGAAAGCGCATGTATAGGTAGCGGTTACGATCTGTAATTTGGACCCGAGTGTCAGTACTGCGTGAAAACATGATGGTGGTTTAGTAAAACCCAACCTAGGAAACATCTGGGAGGCTCTGTCTCCACAGGAAGATGAAGCCTGTGCTCACCTCCCACATGCCTAAGACGCTTACAGGCCAAATTCACTGCCTTCGAGTTGAGGCTGATTCGGCGACCCTGTACCCAAACCCCTAGCCTAGACCCACTGCCATCGAGACAATGGCGACTGCGTTTCAGAGGCTGTCTTGTCAACACGAGCAGGAAGCCGAGCTTTCTCCCAAGGAGCAGCTGGTGGTTTCGAACTGCTGACCTTTTGCTTTGCAGTCTAGTGAGTAACCATGACATCACCAGGGCTCTAGCAGTAAATAACCATTCAGTAGCAAGAGCCCTGGTGGTGTTGTGGGTTAGACGTTGGGCTCCTAGGCACAAGGTCAGCTGTTAGAGACTACCAACTACTCCAGGGTGGAAGGAGGCGGCTTTCTGCTCTTGTGCAGAGTTGGTCTTGGAAACTCTCAGGGGTCTTTGTGAGACAGAATCCCCAGTGGGATAGACTGGAAGGGTCGCTATGAGTAGGACTCCAGGGGATGGCCGTGGATTTTGGCTCTGTTGCCCCTTTAGGAGGAGACTTTAGGAGGCCGTTGCCATCAAGTGGCTGGTTTTCAGCAGTAGACAGCCAGCCCTTTTCTCTGAGGTGCCTTGGGTGGACGCAAACCTTCAATATTCCAGTTAGCAACTGAACATGTTAACCGTGCCCACCGCCCAGGGACTCCCACCCAACAGCAGATGTTGTCCCTTAGTAACACACTCGAACCTTTCAAAGGCCCACCTTCCCCTCCCAATCCCCGATTTTATCCCGTTACCTGCATTCCCTCTTGGTTCGGTTTTCCTTCTCTATACAGGCCTCGCACAAAAAGATGACCTGCTTTCTCCTCTGGCCTACGCGATAGTTTGGGTCTAGTGAGACCCCAGCCCACACTCCCTGCTGTCGAGCTGATGCTGACTCCTACTGACTCCTTGTGGGTGTCTGAGACCGTCTCTGTGGACGGGTAGAAAGCCCCACCCAGCCTGGCAAAACAAGTCTTGTGTGTAAAACCAGTGACGAAAAGGTTTTCCTTTTTAAACCCAAACAAACTGGGGGGCTTTTAAATCTTATTTTGGGGAAAGGGAGTAAAGACGTCTACCTGACCTGTGAAAACTTGACGGAAGAGGTCTCTGCTGTGCGCGTCTTACAACGTGGTGCCAGTTCCCACTGCCACTCCCCATTCATAAACCAGTACAAGGATTTAAAAAACAAAACATACAAACAGAAAACACAACAGTATAAGCCCCTGCTGTCCAGCTGGTGCTGACTCATGTTGACAGGCCAGCCCAGGGGAGAGGTGCCCCCCAGAGGGCACACCTGGTATAGTTTCACAGCAGCCAACTGACAGCCTCCTCCGTCCCTTCAGAGCACTGGTAGGTTTGACCCTGAGGGTTAGCTGCCCAGTGCTTAAATCCCGCAGTGACCCAGGGCCTCCAAACCACGGAGCTACTGTGCCCCAGGGCGCCTTCACTCATGAACCGGAGTAGGCTAGTTCAACACGCTCCGGGAAAGTGAATGTTGTAGGCAGCATCAGGAATAGTCCTCGTGAGGAGTCCAGGTGTGACAGCAGTGAAACGTTTGGCTGCGAGGTGACCCGGTGCTCGGTCCTCCTCCTAGGGAGAAAGTCTTGGCGATCTGCTCCCATCAGGGTGTGACCCGAGACCACCGTGGGCAGTGCCACTCAGTCCCACTACACGGCCCCTCACGACAGCTGTACTGTAGCCAACTGCTGTTGGCTCACAGCCGTGGATCCACACCTTTTGAGTGGAGTTTATTTCCTTGGGTCTAATGAGACCCTCATCGAAGGTCTGCTTGTCTGCTGTGAATAGGAGGTTCATGCTTCCTTCCCTTAATCCGATTCGACTCCTGGAATATGTGCCCCAAACCCTAACTGCTAAAGGAACTCCTCTAGAAGGGCTACCTTGTCCTCCTCCGCTTTGTTCAAACTGCTCTTTTGGCCAAAGAAAACTGTCCTTCTCAACGGCCTTCCTCGGACTGTGTCCTGAGTGCCATGCGTACCTTAATTTCGTGCGCCAGAGCACCGCTCGGTAGAGGGATCTTGCTGGCAGGTGTTTTTGCTGCCCCACAGCCTGTATAACTGGATGAACAGCGCCAACAATATAGCCTTGCAGGTAGTAGTCTTCCACTTTTGTGACTATGTCCAGAACCGACTTTATCTTGATGACTTCTGGGTTTGATGAGGCTGGAATAGTAAAAGCAGAACTGGATTTGTTCATGTATAAAATTGGGTGACACATTATTTCTGTGTGAGCATATGGAAGTGTTAGAGATGGCATATCATGAATAGGAAACATAACCCTGTGCTTAACCTCAAATAACGTTACAGTGATCTGTATTATTTATTTCATACTTTATTTCAGAAAAAAAAAGAGCCAAACCGACCTAACCCTAAACAAGCTGTGGTTGTTCGGTGGGTTCTGACTCACAGCGCCCCTGTGTAACTGCAGGAGACACCACCTTGTTCTCACAATGCTCTTCCGTTTGAGCCCATTGCCGCAGCCACTGTGTCCCTGGTGGTGCAGTCTCATTGGGCTGCTAACAGCAAGGTCAGCAGTTTGAAACCACCTCGGGAGAAAGATGGGACTTTCTAGTCCCATAAAGAATTATATAGTCTCTGAAACCAGTAGGGCATTTCTGCCCTGTCCAAGGGGGTCCCTATGAGTCAGACTCTACTCGCTGGCAGTGAGTAACAAACTGATAAATCTATAATATTATTGATTTGTCTTAAAGCAGAAGTACAACCTTTATGTGTTTTTTGCAATTGAGGCAACTTTATTTATAATTCAATTCGCCTGAACATATTTCCAGTAATAAATATTGAAAACATACCTTGGAGAAGCAATATTAATTTGAAATTTCAGTAGTTTGTAATTCTGACAGGGTGACTCACAAATTTTTAAATTCCTTAAAATTTGTAGCAATTTGAGGACCTAATGTCGGGGGTTTAAATGGAGAGAAAATGTTTTGAGAAACGATGTACAAATGCGCTTTACACAATTGATATGTGTATGGATTGGGATAACAGTTGTATGAGCCCCTAATAAAATGTCAAAAAAGAGAAGAAAAAAAAAAAAAGAAGAAGACACCCACAAACGTACAACTTGAAAATAAAAGAGCTGATACCAAAAAAAAAAAAAATTTGTAGCAATTTAAAGATTAAATTTGGGACCAATGGCATTTGTTAAGCAGGAATTGCTATGTGATTTTTTTAATTCTAAGTGAGGAGGCCTAGTGGTGTAAGTGTTGGGCTGTGATGTTCACGGCCGGCAGTTCGAAACCACCAGTCGTTCCACAGGAGAAAGGCTGGGCTTTCTACTCCTATAAACAGTTACAGTCTCAGAAGCCCACAGGGGGTCACTATGAGTCAGACTGGCTCGATGGCAATGAGTTTTTTTTCTTAATCCAATTAGACTTCAAAAATCCCCGTTTTAAACTTTTCAAGGGAACTAGAGATTTGACTTACCATTCGCCATTGCCATCATGTTGATTCTGACTTCTAGGGGCCCAGTAGGACAGAGCAGAACTGGCCTTGTGGGTTTCCAAGGCTGTAAACCTTTATGGGAGCAGACAGCCTCATCTTGCTATTGCATGGTTTTAGGGGTTTTTATAATCATTTTATTAGGGGCTCATACAACTCTTATCACAATCCATACATACATCAGTTGTGTAAATCACATTTGTATATTTATTGCCCTCATCATTCTCAAAACATTTGTTCCACTTAAGCCCCTGGCATCAGCTCCTCATTTTTTTCCCTCCATCCCTGTTCCCCCCTCCCTCATGAACCCTTGATAATTTATAAATTATTATTTTGTCATCTCTTGCCCTGTCTGACTTGCCCTTCACCCACTTTTCGGTTGTCTGTCCCCCAGGGAGGAGGTCACACGTAGATCCTTGTAATCGGTTCCCCCTTACCAACCCACCCACCCTCTACCCTCCCAGTATTGCCACTCACACCACTGGTTCTGAAGGGATCATCCGCCCTGGATACCCTGTGTTTCCGGTTCCTATCTGTACCAGTGTACATCCTCTGGTCTAACCAGACTTGCAAGGTAGAATTGGGATCATGATAGTGTGGGGGTGGGGTGGGGAGGAAGCATTTAGGAACTAGAGGAAAGTTGTGTTTTTCATCGTTGCTACATCGCTCCCTGACTGGCTCATCTCCTCCCTGAGACCCTTCTACAAGGGGATCTCCAGTGGCCTACAAATAGGCTTTGGGTCTCCACTCCACACTCCCCCCATCATTCACTATGATAAGATTTTTTTGTTCTGATGATGCCTGATACCTGATCCCTTCAACACCCTTGTGATCGCACAGGCTGGTGTGCTTCTTCCATGTGGGTTTTGTTGCTTCTGAGCTAGATGGTCACTTGTTTACCTTCAAGCCTTTAAGAACCCAGATACTATATCTTTTGATAGCCGAGCACCATCAGCTTTCTTCACCACATTTGCTTATTCACCCACTTTGTCTTCAGCGGTTGTGTCAGGAAGGTGAGCGTCATACAATGCCAACTTAATAGAAGAAAGTATTCTTGCATTGAGGGAGTACTTGAGTGGAGGCCCAATGTCCTTCTGCTACCTTAATACTAAACCTATAAATATACGCACATAGATCTATTTCCCCATCCTCATATATAAATATATTTGCATATATACATGCCTTTATCTAGACCTCTATAAATGCCCTTTGCCTCCCAGCTCTTTCCTCTATTTCCTTTGACTTTCTTCCTGTCCCACCATTATGCTCAGTCCCCACCAGGGTTTCAACAATTCCTCTTTGTTACATTACCCTTGATCACGCCCTACCAGGCCTCCCACACACTCCTTACCACCTATTTGGATCATTCGTTGTTCCCTTGTCCTTGGGTTTGTTAACACCACTACCTTTCCTCCCACCTCCCTCTCTCCCACATCCCCCTCTCCCACGTCCCCCTCTCCCATGTACCCTCGGAACTGTCAGTCCCACTGTTTTCTCCTCCAGATTGTTCATCCAGCCTATCTTATTTAGACAGAGCTGGGGGCATGGTGTCTTATAGACGTTATATAAATGCTAAGTAACTGAAAAAAGTAAAGGTGTCCAGAGTTCTTTCTAATTAGTGAAGTGTCTAGATGTAGCGGAAATTTAGCAGCTGAAAAATCAATGTGCAATTGAAACATTCCCTGCAACAGGGAAAATCTGTGGAAACCATAGAATAACACAATCTGTACACTCTTTAAAATAATCCAAGGAAAGGGTGTGTTATTTGGGAAAATGTTCTTAATGTTCCAGCAGTAGTAATTTAAAAAACAATTCTTCTCCCACCCTGCTTCTTATTCGGGAACTGTGTTTCTCATTTTCTGGAAAACAGCCAAGACTTAATATCTAGAAATAGACCCGTAAGTCAATCATCTCTTGAATAACAAAACATACGAAAGTATTTCCAGTATGGGCCATGCTGCTCATTAGCCTAGTCTCAGTGTGGCCAGTGGTGTCTAGCAAAGAGCCTCTGCTGCTGCTGCCCCAACGCAGGAAGGAGGCTCACAAGCAGACAAGAAGGGTCAGAGGAAATCCCCTCCTCCCTTTCGCTGTGAAAACTCACAAGATGGAACAGAGATCCACCACCACTGGTTACTCATGCGCACTTCTAAAACTAAAGTAAAGCACGCAACAGAAAAGCGATATAAACCAGGAGGAACCCACTGCCTCCAATTTTCATTCTTTCTTGGATCTAAATCAATAATTCAGTTTACAATATATTCTCTTTATCGCCACAAGTAGGAATAAAAACAAAGAGAACTGTCTTGGACTTTTAATTAGTAGCTGGACTTTATTGTAAAGTGGCCTGGCCTTCCGGGTTGGTGTGACAATTTTGAATTTTGACAACGACCTATAAAATAATAAACAAAAAAATCCTAAAAATACAATGGAATAAGAGTAAGGAATGAAATATCACTAAACTTATTTTAGAATTACAAACAAATCCTTCAAAGATTTTAAGGAGAATCAGTCTTCTCATTGCTTACTGCAGAGTGTGGTCTGGCCTCTGCCAGCTCAGTCAGTCCTAACACTTACCACCCTCATTCTCACGCATCTTCTTTTGGCAAGCCTGACCCACCTGGAGGCAAGCCTGACCCACCTGGAGGCAAGCCTGACCCACCTGGAGGCAAGCCTGACCCACCTGGAGTTCTTGATTGTGCCCCACTGTTTCAACCTCATACCTTACCTTCTGTTCAGTTCCCTTCCCTCTCCTTCCTTCCCCATCCTGAGTGAATCACTTCTCTGTACTTAGTAACGCCCCGGTAGCATAGAGGACACCACATTGCATTGGTAACACAGAATTGGTGGTTTGAATCCCCCAGTTGTTCCTCAGGAGAAAATGAGGCTGAGGTAGTTAATTGTGCCAACCTGGCCAATAATCACATGTGGGGCTAATTGAAAGGCAGAGGGATAAATGGGTGGTGAGCCTCGCCTTTCTAGTTCCTGGGGTCTCTTGCTTTGTGATGGTTCCACCAGGGAGCAGCTGCCTGAGTAGTTCCCTGCTTCAGCTTGCAAGAATGACTTCCTACAAGACATCCCCAAGGAGAAGCTACATGGACCTATCCCGATGCAGCCCTGGGTGCTGGAGCAGCCGTGTGGAGACCCCTGTTAGTGCTGAGATGCTTGTTCGTTCACTGACTCAGCTTTCCTCCTGCAGTAGGCATCATTGCTTCTGTTTTGTGAGGTGGAGGACTTTGTGGACTGGTATTGGGTTAATGGGTTAATGTTGAACTTGTGGGCTTGGGCAGCATTGGGTTGGGATGTTTTCGTGATGCACACTTTCTTTACATAAAACTCTCTTATACACGAGTTGCTGTGGATTTGTTTCTCTAAAGTACCTAGACTAATACAGAGGCTGTCTGTCCATGTAATGATCTAAAGTCTTGGTCAGAAACCTACAGGGCAGTTCTACCCTGTCCTGTAGGGTTGCCACGAGTCGGAATCAACTTAATAGTATTGTGTTTTGTCTTGTTTTCTGAGTAACCATTAACTGCTGAGTATCTGGTAGAAATACAGAATCATTGGCAATCCTTTAAAAATATCCAGTGTCTACCACCATCCTAACTGCCTCTTTGAATTCCTTCCCTCGGGCCTGTATGTGCTGTGCCCCATCCTTCTCCGTTCTCTGGGTGCTGGCAAGGTCACAGAGAACAGGCGGAGTGTCC